AGAAACGGCAATAGCTAGGCGATTGGAGGGGTCGCCATCCCACGCGCCGGCGCTCACATGGCCAGGCGACACGGAGTCCAAGGCGTGGTTCACAGCACAGGTTGCTGCGCCCCCAACAGGCTGGGGTGGGCTTAAAATGATCAGCCACGTTCATGCGAATTTCCATCATCTGATACAATGTCCCATTTTCGACCTCTAAGGATTGTCATAATCACAAATGCCCATAAGACAATTCAACCCCGATGCCACCTCTTCACTATGATGCAGCCCACATCTGAAACATGCCACAGCTTCCCTTTCACTCAGAATTCAAAACAACATGATTCTGACTACTCAGGTGCCGCATATGGTCATTTCCAAACGCCCCCACTGCAAAGTGCAAGTACAACAAATCTCGCAAGCCAAAGTGAAAGTAGAGGGCGGTCACAATGCTGTAAAGCTTCGGGAAACACACATCCCAAACTTCCCCACAACACACCCTTGCATCTTGCGGACAAGACACTATGACCAAGGCATCTCTATGTGAATTGCAGGACATTCTTTCATCAAGCTCATGTTGTCCTCAACAAACATGAGTGTGATCGAAAACTACCTCAAGAACCAAATTCAAAACCAGAATTCACTCACAGAAATGGCCAATCCGACTTTTCATAAAACATGCGCCAATCTTCAAGCAAAGGAGTATGCATAGGCTAGAAGCTCAATGCTGCACCAGGGAAAGAGACATCCTGTGTGCCCCTCTAAGGAAAGTAACATCTTGGTGGGAGTAACCTTTGCAAGTTTCATAGCACCATTTTTCTGCAACCACAGTCTTTTTTTCTTTCAATCTCAAGCAGCGATTCACGTTTTGACATGCACACTAGTCGCAAGCCATCAAGCATAAGTGATCCACCCAGTGAAACGGTGGTCATTATGCGGCGTCGCGAACAATGGGTAAATAATTGTCAGAACCAGTGAAAATTTTGTGGGCAGGTTTGTTATCCACAACACATGGCGTCCACAGCCTCAAGGGTGTCCCAAAGCCTTGAGGCGCCCCAAAGCACGAGGGCGTTTTGTGAATTCTGGAACATCCAACCCAGCCACTCTTAACTTCCTTCATACTTGTTGCAGCACATAGAGAATATGCAAAATCAGAGAGCTCCAGCGTGGTCGGCCAGTGGCCGGGGTACCACGCAGGAGCACCATGAGCTCAACACGGAGGGCTACTGCCTTGTGTATTTGCACTTAATAAATTTTCTTGCTGTCGCAATCTTCAACAATCTTACATATCAAAGCAAGGAGTTTCGCATAAGCTCCCTCCACATGGTCAGGCGTCAAGTGGCTTCGTGCCGCAGACGAAGCAGGTATGTCGGGGTTTGGAAGAGGAGGAGGATAAGAAGGACAGTCACCATTCTAAGGCGGTACAACCAGGACAGCTGTAACTGCGAAGAACCCTCTCTCCCAGGAGTTGCGTTTTGGCCCGTCACTGCGTCACTCCTCTCCTCGTACAGCGGCGGTCCCATCACACACATCATACCTTGCCTCTTGCCGCTTCCCTCCGAAGAGTTCGAGCATTGTCGGACGCCCGGCAAGGTACTCCCTCGCTCCCCACCGAATCCAACGAGGGGGGCTGCAAGGCGAGGCGGGGGCTCGGAGGTTCGTCGTCGCTCCTCGCTCTCCGCCAGGGGAGCACACCTCTGCGCCTTCCGCGGGGGCCCTTGGGGCACTCTGAGGGCCGTAAGGCGGTTGACTGGACTTGTCGAGAGGTCTGGGCGCCGTGGAGGGGGCGGGGCCGAGCCGAACGGGTTGTGCCCCGACGCTGATCGCGCTTGTTTGAGGCGCCGGCCTCGTGGAGTTGAGAAAAGGTGGGGGGAGGTGTGGGCAGAGAATGGAGAGGGATCCAGTTTGCCGTCGGGCAGGGTGGTGTGGACGATCGGACTGACGGAGCACTTGTGGGAGGCCACACCACAACACGCGTCCAGTGAAAATTTTCTGTACCTGAACACGAACATCCTGATCCAAAGGCTGGTCGGACTTGCCAATGTCATGAATTCCCAACCCCCGCCACGGGGTCGCTCGAATTCTCATCATGTTCAGGATGGTGGCACGCGTAACCACGTCAGTTCTGCAACCTCAGGCGCATCCCGCCTGTCTATTGCCAGAGGCCATCCGTCGCCCTCACGCCCGGCGCACTGTGGCACGCACTGTCCCGGACTTTCCACGTGCGCTGGTCACACTTTTGCCATTTCCCCCGGGCTCACCCGAGGGTCAGTTGCCGTGCGGCTGCCTGCGTGATCGGACCCAGGCACACGATATCATACCGCTGAAGCAGGGCAGTCACGCGGCTGCTCGCTTCCACAGGTTATTCAGAGGCAGTTGTTAAGCGTTGCCGGCGCGACCGTCCCCACAGGCCGCGTCAGCTCGTCGGTTGTGACGGTGTCCATGCGCTCTGAGAAAAAAGCCAACTCGGTTGTTGAAGCAGACACTCCTCGAGTCCTTACAGAGCCGCGTTTCTGCAGGTTTTCCTTTGGTACGTCAACCCTGCAACACGGTCAAATGTGCAGAGGATGTGCTGCTTCACGCGTTGTGATATCCTTGGACACCTGTTGTAAGGATCGTGAGGAGAGTGTGGGGTGGGCGTGTAGTAAGCAGTAACTTGTAGGGAGCCGAGAAAAGGAGCCAATAGCTGGGAAAACCGCAACATATCTAATTGAAAGGGGCTCGGGGTGTGAAATGGACCCAGGCAAGAGGACACACAATATGACGAAGTTGTTTTCAACGCCCATCGCTGACACCTGTTCTGGTTTTCAACTTCTGACACACTTTGATCCAGCTAGCGTTTGTGAATTGCTGCCAGTTTGCGTTTGCAGCTCTTGCGATCCTAGGCCATGGGGCCAGGACAACAAAGTGGCTGATGATTCTCATACTCTCAAAGTGCAGTGTTGCTTGTTCTGTTATGCAAGACTGTGACTTGATGAGGGAGAATCAATTGAGCGCTGCGATCATCGCGTCAACGTTACTGACGCTGCACATCTTCTGAAGCAAAGAAGTCTGTAGGCAGAGCCATAGTGACAGCACATTTCAAGCGGGTTCCTGTATCCAAGCCACCACCCAAAGGAACCTATCACCTGTCTTGCTGCTGCCTGCTGCTACTGCAAGAGTCAGTGATGTGTGATGCAGCAAGTTGTAACCTCGTATAGGAGGACATGTAGACTTGTGGCTTTCCACATGGCAGCTCCTTTCTGACGTTTTGAAACTCAGTCTTGGAGCTGTGTGCATCCGCTGCTGCTGCTGCTTTTCATCTTCATGAGTGAAACATGAATGTTAGTCTTGGCACACTGCTGTAGGCTGCTTGAATATGCACCTCATTGTCCATTGCATTGGCTGCGAATGAAGACAAAGGTTTCCAGCTTCACCGGCCTGGAATGCTGGTTAAATCCACACACAGCAGCAGTTTAATTTGGTTCCACGAACAGGTGGTGGTTCCTTTGCTTATAAATCTTTACGATATACAGCCAGCACGTCAGTGTGCATCATATTGACTTGGGCATTGCCCAACACCAGTCAACATTTTGCGTGAGTTTCCTGCTCAATGGAAAGGCTGTGTATTCCAACAGTGTTTGGAAATTTACTCTGACACTGCTTCTGAGGCAGGCAGCTGCTTGCAGTCCAGTATATGGTCAGTGTGGATGTTCGCATCGGATGGATTTGAAAGATGGTTTTAAGGTTAAGGAGTCTTGCGATGTCTTTTTGTGTGCAAACGATGAATTGTATCTGAGACTGTCGAGTGGACGAATTTCACCTTTATGGTGAATGTGGACTGTTGAATTGCTGCCTTGCCCCTTACATCGATGGCACATAACATTGTGCAAGACTGCCTGCTTTGGCGTGGAGCCCCTGGGTCGTATTTGCATGGACAGAGAGACCTTGACCTGCTGCCAGGTGCTGCAATATATGAGTACTGGCCTACCACAAGACAAGTAACTGGAGATCCACAAATTACAGCAAGCAGCTTTGCCAAAAACATGCATCTACTCACAGCTGATGAGCGCAGTTGACCTGTGTGGCTTGCTCTTGGGCCCAGCACAGTAGCCACAATTTTGCACAGGAGAATGATCGAAAATTCCAGCGTTGGTGCTCACACTAAGATTTGACCTCCAAGGTTGAAAATCTAGTTGGTGTTGGGCAACGACCTGATGCATGTAAGCACAGGTTCATGGCCATGGCAGCCATGTACAACGTTCATCTTGTGCAATCGCCTTGATGACTGGAACATCGCCTGAACAATCCTCTCAAAGGTGGAGAACTTCAAGCCATCTGGTGTTCAGAATCAAGAAGCTATAGAATACTGACAACTTCTCCCACCTTGTCTTTCAGTTGGTGCACAGAACTTGTCGCATCATCATATTTCTTGTATTGCCGCATTCCTGGTTGAGTAGATTGGGCTGGCTGGTAAGCACATGGATGTTGATGTTGTCCCTTCCTGAGGGTTGTACTGGGGCAAAGTGGATGTGTTGTCTTATGGCCACTCTTCTGTTCTGGTTTGCTGCAGGTGTGTCTGGCGCAGCCTCTGCTGCAATTTGCTGCTGTTTAGAGTCGTTGGCAGCTTGCTGACATCCGAAGGCTGAAGCTGCCAGGCAGGTGTGCAGGCAAATGTTGCAACAGCTGCCAACTGCCAGGACTGGCTGCAGACCATACCCATGGCTATGACATGGGTGCATGGCATCCTGCCTCATATAATCTCTCTCATGGAAGTCATGGGTGACTTGATTAAAATCTTTCAGTTTCATTGTCGAAACGTTGCTGGAATGCTGTCCGTTTGCTTCATCTGAAGTTGATGCATGGGATCAACAACAGTTCCATTGTTTTGAGTTGTCCCAGTGTGCTAATACTTTGCTAGCCTATCATTGTACATGTTGTTGCATGGTAGCCTGTGTCTGCTGTGCATGCAATGATATGTTGACAGAGTTTGCTTGACTGCTGCTACTTGTCTGGTTGCAGGGCGCCATCTCACTGGCAGCATGAATCCCATGCAGCCGCCAAATATGCATGCTCCACAGGAGATGTACATACCTGGCAAGAGGCCCATGATATCGCCAGGCTTATCTGCAACAAGCCCCATGGTGTGCATTGCTTCACAGACACAGTAAGTGTGGAGATTTTGCCAGAACAATCATTGGTTAGGAGGCCATACCACAGTGTATACTGGACAGCTCACAGGCAATTCTATTGTTTACTCTGTTCTTCTGCACAGCAATTCTGCCCTGTGCCCTGTTCTGCTTGGCATCGAATCTGTATAAGATGGCAACAGCTCTGCTCCAGCCCCGTAAGCCTTATCATGGCCTGAAGACTGCAATGTTTTCTCATTGTGTGGCAGCCTCAAGCAGTTTTGCAAGGACACTTGATTGCGTCGTACCATGTTTTGATGGTCTTTTGCATGTTTATTTCATCACTGGCCTTGCGACATTTTGTGGTGAAGGGCCTCCCCAAAGCCAATTTTCACCCCCCTGCCGCTGCAGAGTGCTGAAGTGACAGCAGAGTGCCACATCGCCACCGCATTTGTGGTAAGCCAATGTTTGGATTACTTCCTTGGGAACTCAGGCAACCAATGAATGCTACAGGGCACTTGTTTGGTTAGCAACATATGCTCTCAGTGGCAGGATGTGATTGCTGCTTGTGGACTTGAGCTGCAACAACATGTCCTGACGAAGCAGCTATGAATGGTGAACTACACGATGTAAGAATTACACTGCCTATTGTACTGACATCCTGTTGTGGTTGTTCCAATGGCAATTGGGTGTATTGCCACACTGATAACCCTGTTGGCATGGCTAACACAATCTGTTTCTGTACAGAAAATCGAATTTGTGGTGGATGCTACCAATACACAAGGTGGCCCTGGCGTTCTGATCTTGCCAAAGAACTATGACACAACAGTCACAGAAGCCAAGATTCAAAATTTGACTCAGCACTCTGTTTATGCCACAATGGTGGTGCCAAAGGATGAAGCAGGGCGGTATGCAGCAAGGAGTGGAAACCGGGTTAACCCAGGAGCTGCAGGCGAAGATCCTGTGAGTCTCCTGTTGTTGCATTTCGAACTGTAGTTGCAACTGTTCCTGTGAAATTTGGGTCACACCCTGCCAACAGAACGAATCATGTGCATTTTTGGATGTGGTTTGGTTGCTGTGCCCTGTAGAACCTGTTGTAGCACCTGCAGATGCACAGGAAGTGCTCAGAAGTTGAGAACCAGACTGGAACCCCAAACTGCAACATGCTTTGGGGGCTATTATGACCACACTTTTGCTGCTGCTACCTCCTTTTGCACCTGAGACGTGTACAAGTGTCTACTGGCCACAGCAATGGGGCATTTGGGCCCCATCTGTTGCCCCTGGTGCAAGCATGTTACAGAGTGGCATCCACTGGGAAACGCATATGCGTTTGAATGGCACAACTGACGTAACAACAGCAAACTGAAGGTTTGATTGATTCTTTAAGGAGCAAGATCGCGCCAGGAGCTGAGTCAGCTGTTTGTGCATGTTTACTTTCTTGTCTACAGGTAGATCCAAACAATCCGGAGCTGTTCATTATTAGTTTCGGAAACATCAAGCCTCGTGATCTGTTCCGTGTCACAGTTCATTTCTTCCAGCCGCTTTTGTTTCAACAGGTATGATGAAACCAGAAATGCAGGGTTACCTTTCTCTATCAAAAGAGGCTGTGGTTCTGGGTGTGTGAAGTTAGGAAACAGTTCAAGGTGACATTCCTTGTGCCCTCTTCGCTGCACTGGGCGGGAGCCTGTTTGTCTTACCTGTGTTGTTGAGCACTAAAGAACTATATTGCTTACATAGTGTGGCTCTGGGCCTGTTGAACCTTGTGTGTTGCCGCACAGCATCAAGACGTTCGTTACATGAATATTGAGGCATCTCAGCCCCTGCCTTCCTGAAGCTGTGGCATAGGAGGAACCCTGCGACAGAACAGTTTACAGAACTGCAGATGTACCATACAGTGTGCGTGGGTTGCTGTGCTTGTTGCTGGCGTTGCTGGGAGACGGCATCATGCCTCCACCCAAGGGTACAAATATCTAAAAAGTCAACTAAGCTTTAGTCTCACTGTTGAATGGGGTTTGGTTGGGTGGCCTGTGGCAGGGTTACTACCAGCTTCAATTTCCGTTGGAGTGGCCCCAGCAGATGTTGAGTGGTGGTTCTGCACACCTGAGCGCATTGATGCACATAAACTGCAGTATCAACACTGGCGTCCCAACTGAAGTGAACTGGAAGTGCCCCACACACAAAATGGTGCCAAAGACAGTGCAGCCTGGGCGGTTGGTGTTGGCAGCTGATAGGTAATACAATTTCCCCAGGGGATGGTTGGGCTGTGCTCAATATGTTCTCATTGCTGCTGCCCAACCCTGGCTTATTGCAGTCTGGGGTTGCCCATAAATGGACATATCCAAGTGCATGATGCTTCTGCATGTCCATGTGTGCCTTTGTGGACAGTGGCGAATGGTGATATCTCGTTTTCCCAAAGTGAGCTTTGGACATATCCACGCCTTTGTTTCCAGTATGCTTTGGCCAATATGTATTCTTGGAGTGGCAGTCCATTCAAGTGGTCCAACAAATGTTGCAGGGAATCCCATTTCCCAGGCTGCTGTAGTGGCTGCTGTAGTGTCTACTGTATACCAAGTTCTGCACTTCCTTCCCTCTCCATTGCTGTAATGTCCCCTGGGTTCAGATATGTTTTTACGTTTAGTTCAACTGAATATGAAATTCGACTGAGAATCATCACCCTGTGCATCACCCAATTTTGGGGCACATCAGTACCATTGCTGATAAATGGCTCCAGGAATGGCTATTGGTGGGTAGCGTTGTTATGATGCCATGTACACTTTCCAGGGAGGTCAAGTGGGAGAATTCAGACTTCATGATCGGCTATGAAGTATGGGGCAGAGCCATCGTGGCATCCATGAACATTCAAGCCCCCAATCCAGTGAACAAGGCACAGGACCCTCGGGGAAATTTTGCACTTTCAGTGTCTCCACCAGCACCAGATGTGACTCAGGTGCGTAAAAGAGGGGTGTACGCCTCATTTGCCTGTTTGTTCATCACAGCTTCGCAACAATATTTGGTGGCTCAGAACCCCAAGCAACATGCTTTTCTGATCTTGTAGAGTCTGGCAGTGTCAGAGCACTGTGTCTTGTTTTCCTGGCTTTCTGCTCACCTTGTCAGGTTAAGAAAGATTCCCTCAGCATGGATCTAGCTGTGCAAATGCAGCCATGGAATTGCATGAATGGACCTCACTGAGGAAATGACAGGTTTTGAGTAGGAAATAGTCCTCAAATTCCAGTAGTGCTTTGTTCAACTGTGCAATGCCTGGAGTCTACTGCTGCTGCTAACATGACTTTGCAACTTGTTGTCACTTTATGCAGAAATGCTGAATTTTGTCAAGTGTGGACAGCAAGGCAGGGGGCATTCATCAGCCTTGGGAAGCCCATGTCAAAGTTGGCCTTAATGAGGGCTCGTTAATCCTTGTTTGTGACTGTGGCAGCCTTTCGTGAAGAGTGTTATCCTCATTGTCGATCGGTCTGGCTCCATGCAAGGAAAGCCCATCGAGTATGCCAAGAAAGCCCTCATGGCTGGCTTGGACATGCTCAGTCCGATGGACTTGTTCACTATAATAGCGTAAGTTTTGGGAAGTATTTGGCTGGGGGAGTTGGCAGCAATGGAGAATGGATAGTTTCTCTGCTTTGGCGAGCAAGAGTTTGGGGTGCAAATGATACATGTGCCTGCACAATTTAGCATATTTTCTCTGTTGGTATTTGCTTTCTGGGAGACTAAGATGCAGCACTTCCAGAGCGGGGACAGCTCTGGTATGCATATGTGGCGAATGCCTTGTTCTATCCAATGGTGTGTTCGACTCACTTGGTTGTCTCTGTGTGATGAGGCTGTGTTGGCCAACATCACTCACCACCTTTTTGTTGTCATAGATTGATTGAACTTTTGCTGCAAAAGCATTCGTCCATTATTAGGCGATGTTGTTCCTGTTCACCTTTGAACACCATGGCTTGCTCTCAACCACCCCGCCTCATATGTGTGTAAGAGACTTGGTGACTGCCAGAGCTTCCTTTTTGAACAATGGTGGATTGATTTTGAGTCGTTACTTTGTGCAAAGGTATGACCATGAGCAGATCACTTGGTCTGGTACCCTGAAGGAAGCAACTCAAGAAAATGTCTCCAGTGCCAACCACTGGATCTCTGGAAATGTTGTGGCAAGGGGCTTGACAGACATCAAGACGCCCTTGCAACAGGCTATTCAAATGCTGCAGGGCAGCCCCTTTGTGCCGTATATCTTCCTGCTGACGGATGGTGCTGTGGAGGATGAGCGTGACATCGCACAGTATCTGCAGGTGGGAGCCTCTGCAGTGAACAAAAGAATATTGCTGCCTGGATGCGTACTGGTTATGTGACTTGCAGCTGGTGAACAGCAGCATTGAGACAATGTTTGATTCGGTGGTTAACAGCAGAAATTCAGAAGGAGTCCCAAACAAGCATTGCTCCATGTGTGGGAGATTGCAGACCTGTCATCGAAGAGTAGCCACATAAAGGGAGTTCAGAGCCGAACGTAGGCTTAACACACAAGAAATCAGAGAATTGCATCCAGGCACTGATTTGTTCAGGAGGCCATGTTGATCGTTGTGCTGTGGGTGTAAGAAGATCTAGGCTGTGGATTGTCCATATGTGTGAATTGTATCAGTTTGCAACTTGGCCATTTTTTGTTGTTTGCGATGGGGCCACATGAACTTGCTAAGCATGCTTGGGTGACAATGGCAGGCCATAGGTCCTGCCTGTATCCTGTTGAATTTTATGAATTTCGGGACGATCATTTGTGCATCTGTCTTCTTCGGCTGTGCATTACCTAGGTTTGGCAGGCTAGAGGAATGCTTTGGTCTGTCCTCTTGCCACCCTGGTGTCAGATAGTTCGGTTACTTTTGAGAATTTGAGTTCTTGTCAAAGGAATAGGCATTAGAGCATGGTGCAGATGCGTTCCCCGAGTGATTGTCGTGATTAAAAACAGTGACTGAATGTCATGCCATCACGATGAAACTGTGTGAATGCTAATATCTACTGGTCTACAACAACACAGTTAATGGATCATGCCCCTTGCACAGGGCCAAGCCACAGATAGACACCCTGACTTGATATGGCGTCCTTTTGATCTGGGATAAGGGCAGCCTACTGTGTTCATTTGCTGTACAGAATGAGGTGAACATCCCAGGGGCAGCAGACTTGTCCGTTCCACGGGTGTCAACATTTGCAATTGGGCCCTATTGCAATCATTTCTTCTTGAAGCAGTTGGCAGTTATTGGCCGAGGCATGTTCGATGTGGCGTTCACACCGTTCAGTATTCAGGTATGTGGCTATTCCACATTTGCAGTCGATTTTGTCCACTAACTTCGTGCTACCCTCACCTTGCTAGAACATGCTCAATTTACTGATTGCTGACAATCTTGTTGCTTGCAGCTATGGAATTGTTGTCTCAGAGGTGCTTGCATTGGTGGAGTAAGCAATCCTTACTGCAAGTGTTTTGGATCTTGTGTAATTTTGTAATTTTGCTCTCCATTTTCACCATGCAACTATTGCTGAAGGTGCTGCTCAGTGCTTTGCGATGTTCACGTTGCACTTTTAGACTTTGGCATCAATTTCTACAGCGCGAAAGTCTCTGGCTGCATTTGTGCACACGATGGCATCCTGCGTATGATTTCTGTCTCTTGTGTTGAAACAGCAGCATTCCTGTTTTCTGATGTTGTTGTGTCATGCAGGCTCAAATGGAGCGGATGCTTGATGCAGCTGCCAAGCCTGTGCTGACCGATGTTCGGATCAGAATGGATGGACCGACAGATGTTGAACTGTATCCTTTTCCCATTCCGGACTTGTTTGTGGGTCATCCGCTGCTGGTGTCTGGCAAGTACAATGGAAATTTCCCTCCAACGGTTCAAATACTGGGCAAACTGCCAAACGGTGATGAGTGGTCTCAAGATGTTCACACAACACAGGCAGCGGCGATCCCTCTGGACAAGGTGTTTGTCAAGCAGCGCCTGGATGTGCTGACTGCCGCTGCATGGCTGAATGATGATGGGAAAATGGTGCAACAGGTGTGTGTTTGTGTGTTCTTTCAACTGCGTGGCCCCAATTCAAACTCCATTTCACATATGGAATGCTCTGTTTTCGTTTCTGTATTTTTCCCTGTCTCCTAAAGAGCTTTAAAGGGAATAGAGATTCTAAGACTGACCAATTGGTTACTTGGGATTTCGATTTAGTGACGGTGAACACCTGGCCAATTGGACGCTGGAGTGTGGTCTGTGTCCTGGCAATATGCAGACAAAGGGGGTACGTTTATGTACATGAAGTGCCCTGCTCAGTCGCAGTCTGCATTCAGGCTTGCTGCAGGGAAACGGAGACTAAGCATGTTGATGAAGGCACAAGCCCACAGGTCTGGTTCTTCTCCATGCCTGCAAACCAGTAGAGAATGTCAGACAGGTGATGGAGGCATGGCACTGGTAGTCTGGGGTATGTGTGGATTGGTTGCCAGTTGCGATCTTGACTACTGTCTCACATCCTGACATGTGTCATATTGTACACTGCACAGGGAATGTGCATCTTAGCACTTGTCATGGATTTGCAGGTAATTGAAGAGAGTGTGAACTCTGGCATTGTGACTCCCCACACATCCATGCTGCTGATGCAGACAACAGAGTAAGGAAATAATATTTGGTGTGGGGACCATCGCCCATGATCTGCTTGTGCAAGTGCTCTTCATGCAAGGCATTTCCATCTTACATGGCCCAGTGGGCGAATACTGTTGGCCTGTGTCATAACGACCTGTCGCTCTGTTGAGGGTCCTTTTAATTTATGGGCTTGATTTCTTGGGCGTTTGGCAAGGTCCACTTGCCATTGTCTGTACCGTCCGAGGTGTTGCCTGTATGTGAAATGCAGGAGGTTGCTCTTAGGGGTGGGGCTGTTGCGAGGGATCGGAACTCTATGCATGCGTTCACTTCTGTGGCACTGAGTATATACAAAAGATGAACCATGGTTTCTGCCTTTTTCTAGAGGGGGCGGTTCTGAATTAATTGTGCCCATGTTTGCCCAGGGAGAACCTTGAGGATATCAAGAAGAAAAAAGCTCAAGGCAAGAATGTGGTCCTTACCAAATATGCTGTTGGGGGCGCTGCTGGCATAGCTTTGCTGGCAGGTGCTGGCTTGGCCTTTGGCTTTGGTGACATCGCATCCTCAGTCGGCAATGTGCCGATCCCAGATTTTGGTGATTTTGGAGGCATAGGCGATGTTTTCCCGGACATTGCAGATGGGATTGGAGGATTGTGTGGCGGGTAAGTGGAAACGAGTGGTTGTACTGGTGGTTATGTGCTGTGGGCGTACACCAAGAAACAGAGTCATGGCAAATGGCAGTGTGTGAATTTCGTTTGGTGGTGCTCTCCTTCACAGGAGATTGTGTTGTCATGCACTTGTGCCATGGTTGCAGCCACAGATACTAAACTGCCTGGCCTTGGGAGCATAGAAGAGACCAGATCTTGAATGCACACTGACCAGCTGTGTATAGGAACAATGGTGCTGCAGGGTGGTTCTTTGCTGCCTTGGTCCGAACAAGGATGCTTTTGTATCAATCCCCATGGCCATCAGGCGTTTGTCACTTTTTTTTGCATCTGTGGCAATCTGCAAATGGAAGTAAAGAAATGGGAGGATTGAAATGGGAGTTGCTGTTGAATGAGCTGTTGTCCCTTTGCATGATATTGGCAATTATCCTTTGCTTTGCTTTGCCTTCAACAAAACAAGGCAGTGGCCCTGCAGCTTGTAAGCGATGATGGATTTGTATACAAGCAGAACGCCTTTCTGATCATGGCATTCCTTCCATCTCTTATTCACAGACCCTGTACACAGCCTGTGTTGAAACCCGTGTCAGCATCAGCAAATCGGCAGCAACAGTTTTAGCCATCGTCTGGTTACGGTAGTGGCTGGTCCATGAACACCTATAAACGTCCCCAACAGAGGAGGATCTGTCAATATGGGCCTCGCAGAATTGTCCATATAGGTAGCTGTTGTGTTGTGCAACTGTGTTCGTAAAACAGGTTAGTCATTTGCCCATAGTTCACTGTGTCGTCTCCATAGACACACCTCACGTACCCCTCCCATCCATCTGATGCGCCTCCATGGTGTTTCAAACAGTACGGCGCACCATTTCAAGTCGTTTTGGTGAATCGCTGAAAGTGCACCATGGTGGGCAAGGATGGGTAAACAGTAGGATGAATGTGTTTCTGTGGAGTTGTTAGATAACAAACGTGTGCTCAGCGGACTCGTGCACTGAAGTGTTCCCTGACAAAGTGTTAGGCTCTTTGAAATTTTTGTTGTGGAGGGGCTGCTGCCCTGCTGCTGCACATGGATCCTGCAAGCTGATAACTGACGATGAAATGAAACTGGTGCTCAGGTGCGGTGACTGCTGCGGAGACATTGGCACATGTCTGGGCGACTGCTTTGAGGGCATGGGGGAGTGCATGTCTGAACTTCTTGACTGCTGTGGTACTTGCTTAGAATGTTTGGGCAACTGTGACTTTTAAGACGTGGTGAGGCTTGCAAGGGGAGTGAGTTGATTTGGGGTGGGAGGGGCAGGACGTCGCATTTTGTTGGATGAAAGGGTCAAATGCAGTGTTGAGCACGCCGCTGGAGCCACTGCGTGGGATCACATGGGATGCTCTATTCCACTTCTAGGCCTTCTTAGTTTCCTGCAAGGGGCGGGTTTAGGTTGTGCCACATCTGCAGCGCCTATGGGACTCAGTTCGTTGACGGAATGTTGGTTTGCTGTTATGGGTCTGCGATGAAGGATGATTGACAGCCGGCTGCAGCCTCAGGAACTGGAGTGCCACATGTAAGAAGGGGGCAAGGGGCAGGGCCATGGGGAGTTGCGAAGTCTGTATTCTCATTCGCATGAAGGCAGTGGACTCACATACTCGTTTTCAGATTTTGGTGCATGCCTAGTGTAAATAGGAGGCATGGGGATCCAGAGAGGAATTGCTCGTGTGTAGCAGGGCCCACTTGTGCAACGAGAATGGACTGACATTATCCTGTTTAGTGTCATGTTGTGCAGCTCTTGTCATCCGACTTTTGTCTCCCTCATCCTGGGAATAATGTTGGGAACATGTTGGAATGAAGTTTCTCTGCTCTAGGCATGAACATGGACGCCACTTGGCGTCTGCAAATTCGAGGTGTCGGTAGTACATCCATGAGCTGCCAAGTGGGGCACCGTCATGAACAAATCAGAATGGCTTGTGAACTCTGATGGACGGTTGTTGCATTGCTGCTCTTACCTTTGTGCAAAACTGTTCTTGGCAAGATTGCTGACTTTGCTTGTGCTGGCCATGCCATGTGTGGTACCGAGTCTTGAGATATTGTGATGCCACACAACGCTATCAGTTGTTGATGGATCACTGTCCTTGGTTCCTGAAACTCAACCCATTTGCATTTCCTGTGTCTGCCACTATTTTGATCGGCTGTCAAAGGACGGCAGAATTTGCTCTCTTCTGTCGCTGCCTCTCAGTCCCTTTTGAACTCAGGGACACAGCACACTTCCAAGGACAATTTCAGGGTCAGGTTGAAGGGCATCAACTGCTGTTCAACTCGCTTTATGCCCTTTTTGAAAATACACATAGCTCGCGCAACCATGCTCGCTCGAGTGGTGCATATGCGCACACCTTTGGTGCTTTGTGTGTGGCAAATTGGAAGTTTTCACTTGAATCGCATCGACCTTGCTGAAAAAGATGCCAAACCCCCCGTTGTCGACCCATCGACCCCTCAAGATAGCGCAGCAACCCTGTTTAGGGTAGCACTTGCATGTACTTTGCACAATGATGGCCAAATTGCTAATCGTTGGATATCAGCAAAAAAATTGGCAACTTATAACCCACCCAACCCCCACCCACCCACCCACCTATCACCATCACTTTCTTCCAAGCGAGTGCCAAAGGTGCACTCCAAGGCGCACACCCAAAGGGCATCCTCTGTCTAGGCATCTAGACATTTTGGTAATGTGGAAGGTCAATGATGGGGTGCTGGTTTGCGAATCGCGCGTTGCCGCCGCCTTGGCACCCGGATGGCCGGAATGGCCCGCACGGCCACGATCGGCCGCGGCTTACTCGGGGCGCGCGCTCGGTGCACTCCTTGGTGGTGGGCCCAGATCCCTGGAGGATCGCTGGGGGCGCGGCGATGGAGGCCGGGATGCTGTGAGCTCGGTCGCGCCGGATTGTGGTCCG